CATGTAAATATTTATATAGTCATTCTTAAACAATATTCAAAGGTAAAACTAATGAAAAATACATAAAAATATTGAGAAAGTTATATAAAACATTATTTAAATATCTTTATCAATAGGGTAGGTTAGGTTAGGTTATCGGGTTTTGTTCAAGTGACCACCCTCTTTCGATCCCTCACCTCTACCCGCTTGAAAATATTTTTTTCATTGAATTTTATTTGAATTATAGTGTATGAAAATTGTCAAAATAATCAACTTTCAACCCCTATAACTTTTTATGGGGGTGAGATCGCCACGAAGTTTTTATGGTACAGTGATGGGAAAGACCTCCTCTTTCGATCCCACCCACTTTTTCTACTTTAAATTCGGCCAAATTGTAACTGTGCACTGTAATTGTTGTTCGATGTTTTCCCTCTGATGTTATTGGTTCTACTGATAGACACAAATACGTTAGTTTGAAAAAACCTTATATATATTATTTATATTATACAATATCGACGTTATTTGATAACCTAAGGCGGGAAATGTTCAGAATTCGTCAATGACCTGGCCCCTGCACCCTGCGGGGAATTACCTTAATCATCAGTATAGCGGAGTGTCTCGACACCTTGGGCCACTACGTAAGGCTTAGAGATTATTTTGTAGAAAACTAAAGATAAGTCTTATGTGCAAGGAAAATTCAAACGGTGAACTTTCACAGTACTACATACTGAGGGTTGTGGCGCCGCGTCATAAACAGGCGGTCACGTACAATTTCTTAATCGTTTTCCCGCGTTCGGAATGATAAACATGAATCTTTTTCTTCTCGTAAACAGTGACAATCACCCTGTATACGTTGCCTAGTATTTGTCTAGTCCAAATGTTACAAAAGTCGTCGTGTGCTCTTTTCGAACCGCCTGTATTTGCACACCGTAAAAAACGCTGATAAGTGTTTTATCGCACGTGTGAATGTACACAGGATATATCTACTTACATGCCTACATATACTTGCATACACTCGTACTAAAAATTACGATAGTTATCAACATACGTAGATAGGTATGTAAGGAAAAGGTACATCCCTGAACTTTAAAAAAAATATATACGTACATAGATAATGTTATATATGTATATATGTGTACGTGGAATTGTATTGCCCGAGTTGCGTTATACTATTTTACTATTTACAATAGAGATTAGAAATTACATATGTGTATGTACAAGTACTTGTGTGTGGTACAAGACAGGGACGGCGACGGACGGTTTAAAATAAATAATATTATCGTCGGGTTGTCCTGTGTATTACACGGACAATTGTCGACATTTATGCTTCCTGCTACCCGCATGTCCGCGCATGAATTACTCACTGTGTTGTTTTAACATTCATGCCCTGCCATCTATAACCAGCTGAAATTGTATCGCGCGACCCTTGATGAATTTCTAATATAACAGATGAATAATGTCCCCCAATAACGACTTTCTGTGACCAAAAGAAATGAAAATAGATACACTTTAGCGTAATATAATATTGATTGGTAATTTTCCAACTTGAAACGGTTTAGCTTAATGTAACATTGATCAGTATTGATTCTCCAATTTGGAAATGCTTAGGGTTGGAGGTAGGGGGGGGCTAAAGTAAAATGAAATTGAATTTAAAATATTCTACTTAAAAAATGAAAGGGTTTGTTCATGAGAAATTAAATTAATCTTCAAATTTTTGTTTATTTAGAACCACACAACCAGCGAACAAAATGGAAACAAAGAAATGGACGAATGGGATTGGCAAGGCACCGAAATACCCCTCACTCTGGATCCTTGCCTCAAATACCAGGAAGAAATCGATAATCTCAAAAAGAAAGTCGATATATTAGAAAATGATAAGGAAGACTTGACAAAAAGTATGGAGCAGTTGGATGCGGATTCGCAGCAAACAATCAACAAATTACTCAATTTAAAAGAGTCGTTACAAACTGAATTTAACACTTTAAAGAATGATTATAACGACCTGAAGAAAGAGTACGGGGATGTGATGAAAGAAAATCTGGAAAAATCCCAGAAAATTGAACAGCTTCTTAACCAGAAAAATACGATACATGATGATCATCAACTACTCAAAGTTGTAGAAGAATATGAGCGTTTAAAATCTTCCTTTGATGAACAGAACGAACATAAAGCAATTCTTATAGTCGAAAATCATAAATTAAAAGAGGAGAACGAGAAGTTATATGAAAAATTGGAGCAAATTTCTTTGAAAATAGAAGAATTAGAAAGTGAAGCCCGGAAAACAGAAACTATTTTAGATAAAAATGAAGACAATAATTCTCTTGGAGAAAAAGAAAACAGCCACATAATAGCGAAAGATTTAGAAAATGCTCTCCACGATAGGTATAAAAGTATACTTGAAGACTTTCGAAAAAATTATATTGATAACGATTATCTGACTACAAATCATCACAGTTCCAACGTTAATGTAAGCCCAGAAGATGAATTTTCTCAAGAATTAAATAGTGTTCTGAAATATTTATTATCTTTCAAATCTAAAGCCGAAAACCTAGAAGAAAAATTACAAACATTAACCCAAGAGAAAACGGCCATAATTCAATCAAAGAATATGGAAATAGAAAAGTTACTTAAAAATTCTGAAATATTGAGCCAAGAAGTCATTACAAAGACACAAACGATCAAAGATTATGAAAAAGAATGCGCCCAGTTAATGGAAAATAACGATATGCTCATTACAGAATTGGAAAATTTCAAAAATAGTAGCGGTCTCCAGACCATATCTGAGACGCATGAAGACAATATTTTATTGCTGGAGAACCAGCTTGAAAACGCAAACAAAAAAATAGAAGAGTTGAAGTTGGTGATATCAGATTTGGAAAACAGCAGGCAGGAATGCAATGAAGAAACAGAAACTGAACTTCTGTATGTCAAAAAGCATCTCAACTTAACAGGTCAGGAATTGAGCCAAGCTAAAGAAGAGAACCAAGAACTGTTGGCTAATTTACGGCAGAGTGAGGAGGAAAGAGACAAGTGGCATGATGAATACATAAAATTAAAAAATCTTCACCAGACGTGTGACGAAGAAAAACTGAAATTAAGATCGATGGTAGAAAAATTGACCGCAGATTACGAAAATTTGGAGTACAGCTTGACAGAAAACAACGTATCCACTGAAAGTTTAACAGAGGAAATAGAAGATTACAAGAAAAAATTTGACGATAGTTCTTCAAAACTACATCAGTATGAAGAAGAGTTAAAACAGGCTACTCAAAAAATTAATGATTATGAAGATAGAATTCAAGAATTGAATTCACACACCAAAAATTTGGAATCACTCAACTTTTCTCTAGAGTCCAATCTAAATCAGTTTCAAGTCGAAATAGATTCATTGAGAGAAGAAATGCTCGAAAAGATTAAAAATGACGACAAATACCAGGCACAAATTAGGAATCTTACTGAAAAACTTCAAAACGCGAAAATGTCCGAAACAAGCTTAAAATTACAATATGATACGCTCTACAAGGAACTTTTAAGCATTAAAGAATTAAAACAACGATTGGAAAGTGAGAATGCAACTTTAACAAAACAAGTTGATGATCTTAATACTTTAAATGAAGAACTTACTCAGAAATTAATTGTTCAAACTGAAGAAATGAAAATTGTGGATTTAAATGGATCAGCAGATTCTAATCAAACTAAAAAAAGCGAAGAAGAAATAGTACAACTTCAAGAGAAACTGCTTAATGTCCAAAAGTTAAACGAAGATCTTCTTCAGAAACAATCGATATTAGAAACTCAAAACGCAGAACTCACTAAAGCCAAAAACGAACTGATTGAATTTGTCCAGACAAAGCACCAAGAAAATATACAATACCACAATGAAATCCAACGGTTAAATCAAGTATTAATAACAGAATGTGCCAATCGTCAGTCTTTAGAGGTAGAAATTAATAATCTCAAAGAATTGCTAAAAGAAAAAGAAAGTAGTACCAACCGGCCCACTGAAGACGAAAACTTAACTCTCCTGAAAGATAAACTAGCTTGTATGGAGGAAGAAAAATTACGATTTGGCGAAGAAATCACAAAAATGTCCGAAGAGTTGCGAAAAAAGAACGAAGAAATAACGCAGAAGGAAGAAAACTTGAAAATTCTTGCTGATAAAAATAAAAACCTGTGCGAGAAATGTGAGTTCCTAGCAGAAAATTTATTACAAGAACAAAGCAACCATCAGAAAGTTCTTGCGGAATACACATCACCTTCGGAAAGGGAACAAAGTCTAGTAAAGGAATTAGAAAGACTGAGAGAGCATTTGGTTGAAATGGAAGAGAGCTACACCCAAGAGTTGCTGTTGGCAGAGCAGAAGAATCAAGAAATGTTGGTCAAAGTTAACGAAATTGAACAGAGAGAAAAACAATCGAGCTCTGTTTATACATCGATAAATATTAGGGCGAATCAACAAGTGGAAACCATGCAAGTGCAATTGCAGCTGGTAACGAATCAAAGGGATGAACTTCGGAAGAAATTGTCGGACGTTGAGGACCAACTGAATAAACAAAACGCTGCAGTTACAAATTTGCAACTTGTTATTGAACAGTTTCAAAAAGGTAAGTACCTAAACATTTCTATATTGTATGTAGACATAACTCATTGCATATGCTGTAATAGTAATATCCTTATCGTGAGTAATACTTAAAAATATTTTTCTTTTAGAGAAAGAAAAGGATATTTATGTAGAAACTGAACGAATTCGAAGGCAAATAAAAGCGGAAAAACAGATTCAAGATGAGCTTAAACAAGAAATTGCAAATTTAAAATCTCAGTTAGAAGGCAGTAAACAAGGATTACAAGCCGCTTCTAGATTAAATGATCAACTAGAGACCTGCAAACAACAGATTGCTTCTTATAAAGACAAAGGTAATTTTTGTAATACTTATTATAAATAAACCATCAAGGGTACACTTCCTGTGAAACGTTATGCTTGTATACAAATAAAAGACAAAAATGAAACTAATGTCTACCAATTTATCCAGAAACGCGACTTATGTCAGTATTATTGCATATTCTTGGTAATGGCCAACATCTCAAGTTTCTGAATAAATTGGTGAATAGATCATCGCTTTTTTATCTTTTATTTGCAGAATACCTTTTATAAAAAAGAAACAAAAATACTTTAAACTGTAACTGTAAAGCTGTAAACGTTATAAAAAAATATAGTAGACACTCGATAGTATGAACATTGTATAAAGGAAACCCCGCATCGTGTGAGGGTATTACCATCAAATATCTTGAATAAACTAAATCGAAGTGAATGTTGAAAATTGATATTAAATGCCATATCTTCTCCAAAAAATCTAGCCATTTGTGGCATAAGTACAAAAAGAAAGAGAATAAAAACAGAGCGAAACGTCTGTTTTTTCACATTTATAATGAATCTTACATCTTGACTCTTAAAATTTGATATTTCGTTGTTGCTGTTGCGCCAGTGCTGTAAACCCCCGATATTTGGTACTTCCCCAGAGTATTTTTTTTATACGTAGCCGTTAATCAACTTTGAAATGTCGCTTAAAAAATGTGCCTTATTACACTATGAGAAATCACTAGCAATTCAAGAATTAAATTAAGTCGGTTAAAAAGGGAACTGATCTCCAACTAATCACCAAAACTGAGAGGCAACCAGGTAGTAGTAAAGTAGTCTTAAAGAGTTCAAACATTCCCACAAAGGAAAACGAATTGTGTGAGTGGTTTCCTTTTATTATGAGTGACGAAATAATTAAGCGAGAAGCAAAAACAAATTAAAACAGATGTCTACAACGCATTAAAAAACGATTTTGAGTTCACTTTTTATTAATTTCTGGTGAAAAATTATCAGCTAAATTCGTTTATGATATGTTAATTGTAGATGTTGTTTATTTAAATATTAAATATAGCATTCGTTAGCATAGGTAAGTAAATCGATAATGTGAACAACATTTGCTTCTTCTGTTCACACTATGAAGTGTCTACTGTAGGTAACTTTATAAAAACAAATTTTTGTGATTCAATTTCAAGAAAAGATTATNTTGCTTGACTGCGTTTCATTAATCTCATCTGGTAACTGTGAGAATTATTTCGAACTCATATTGCCATATGGGATAAATTGAACGCGGTTCGTTATCTCAAGGATTATTATATTATTATTTAGTATCTTCGCTAACGTATTTTTTATTTTTATTTTAATGCCATTTTTTGTTATCATCACATATCATGTTTTTAGCATTAATTTTTTGCAGCTTTGAATTTCTTGTTTATTTTAACCGAAAATCTAATGTAGTGCAATTAATATTTACTTTAGTTAATATTTATATGAGTTCAAGAATAAGTTTTTTATTGTTATGTGTTGTGAATGCATCCATATCTATAAACTAGCAAAGGAAATAATTGTATTTAGTTAACATTGAAGATATGCATGTTACTTATCTTGAAAATGCTATTTTTGCCAGAAAGAAATATCTCAAACTGTCCTTTTTGAGTACATACCCATATTCTTCTGATAAGTTTTTAATTAATTAAAAAAACTAATGGGCAAGTTTCTTGGTAGCTAGTGTTGTTTGTATGAAAATTGTTGTTTTCGAACGTTTTATTTACTGATTTTTTTTATGTTCAGTTTAACACTAGTTTGTTTTCAGTTGGATTGCGAATAGGCATGATTGCATGATTAACTTGGTTCAGGATGTGAGTATTACATCAGGTACTGGTTATTTTTGACTACCGGTCCCTGTGTAACACTAGCATTTTGATACCAACATTTCGTCAGGCATGACAAAAGAAGACATTAAATCATCTGGATACTAAACACATTGCGTTAAGCACAGGGCCTATGTATAAATTTTTATTATAACACCTACCTATTTTAAAGATAAAACGTAATCTACTTGATTTTTTGTATGTGTTACTACAAAAAAGTGAGTAGTCGCCAATGGTGTATAACGTATAACTTTATTAATTCTAAGCATATGTTTAGAAAAAATGCATGTCACTTATGTTGTTTTTGTCATTCTCCCTTTTATTCTTTACTTTTTCAAACGTCAATTGGAAGTATCATCGACTCTCCCTCTTTTCTTCTTGTAAGACGTTTCTGTTTCACTTCAAAAACTCTCAATAGCCAAAATTAAAGATATTACCCTGTTTTTATTATTTTTTATAGTAATACGTTTTAGTACGTATATGGTTTTAATTTTTTAAACAACAACAAAAAATATCTGTTATTTTCAGTTTATTTATTTAATTTAAATATTGCAGTTTGTTTTTATGTTTTCTTTTTATCTAAATGCAATCTCTTGCGGAAGGAATTTTAATTACTTACAATTACGATTAAATGTAATACAACATTAATGTTTTTCCTTTTTATTTTTCAGTTCGGGAGTTGCAAGAAAAACTTGTGCAGGCGGAAGAAAAATTCAAAGATCTGTCCTCAAACACGGACGTAAAAGTCGACAAGAATTTAATCAAAAGTTTGCTTATTGGTTTCATTACGTCAAGCCACAATACAAAAGATCAAAATCAAATCTTAAAAATAATAGCTACCGTTTTGGACTTTAATCAGCAAGAAAGCGAGAAAGTAAAATTGAATCAAATACATCATGAGGGTTGGTTGAATTCCCTTTTGCATCCCCAAAATGCAAAAGTAAATAACGATGAAAGCAAAGAATCGTTGTCACAGGCATTTGTTAGGTTTCTGGAAGCGGAATCAAAACCTACAGTTATTCCTAATTTGCTTTCCTCCACTATTACTACTAAGTCAACAGGGGATAGTAGTAAAAGTAGCAGTAAAAGACAGTCGCCCATACTTCTAAGTGAAGTTGTGTTGCCAACATTTGCCGACTTTGGTCAAAGCCGAAGTTCGAGTTCTATACTCAAAGACGTGCTAAAAGATAATAGCTAAACTGTTGTCCAACTGTTAAATTTGTTAATGACACGCTTTAATTACCTAATTAATACATATGTACATATATTAAGTTGTATTCGTTATTATTGTTATTCCTAAGGGATCAAAATTGTATATTATTTTAATAGAAAAATGTTATTTAATTTATGCTATTTAAATAAAAAATTGTAAAAATATTGTAATTCAAACAAGTTTTTTAATTATAACTTTAGCCGTATCTTTTATAAGTAGAATACTTTATAAAATTTCTAGTTTAATGCTGTTTTGTTCTGACTGAAAGAAATTTATCGTTTTACGATATTAAAACAGAAGTAAATGCTATTATTTCGTTTGTAGGGCAGATTTAACTTCTTTTTTTGGGAACTTTTCATTTAAAATTAAGGCAGTACTGATATTTTTTCATAAGCTTTATTACCAGTATATACAAAAGTTGTGTAGAGATTGTTTCTTCTAAAATTACATAATTAGCTTCAACGCTTTTTTAAATTGAATGCGGAGGTATGCTCAAATGTATTAAACAATACTTATCCTTGTTGTACGAATAGGTTAAGTCAGGTTAGGTTTTGGGGGAAATTTATCCATTAAGAACTAGTAAAAATAAGTAACATATCCACTGTTTTTTATATTTATTCATTTATTGTGGACTTATGGTTTCCTTCGAAATTTTCAATTATATGTCCCTTTGTATATCTATTATCTATGATATGTCTATGGATTACTATTTGTCATGTATCTGTCTGTCAAATTTGTAGTCTTTTCAGACAAGTACTTTTAGAAACCGTCAAAGTGCCGTCAAATTTACGTAAACATTAATAAGTTAAAGTGAAATAAATTTCTTTCTCACAATGTAAAAGTAACAAAAGTAGTAGAAATGGCTCAAGGAGTGCTGAGCTCGGATATTTCCACAAGAAATCCTCAGGATGAATACGAGCTCATACAAAGAATTGGAAGTGGGACTTATGGTGATGTATACAAAGTAAAGTTTTATACATTTTGTTTATTTTTTACTTGCTAGTTGACCAATAATTACTTTTTAGGCTAAAAGAATATCTACAAATGATTTAGCAGCAATAAAAGTTATTAAATTGGAACCAGGTAACTTAACCTAACTTGCATATCTCAATAGCAACTTAACAGTACTTTTTGATGTTATATCTTTTAGGCGATGACTTTGGAATTATTCAACAGGAAATACTCATGATGAAAGACTGTAGACATCCAAATATCATTGCATATTATGGTAGCTACTTACGAAGAGATAAATTATGGATTTGTATGGAATATTGTGGAGGAGGATCACTGCAAGATATATATCATAGTAAGTGTTTTTATTATCATCATTGCACTTAGTTATGGTCAGAGATTCATGAAAATTCCTTACTCTTTAGTTACTGGACCATTAACAGAGCAACAAATAGCCTATATGTGTAGAGAAACACTTTTGGGTTTGTCGTATTTGCATAGTATGGGGAAAATGCATAGAGACATAAAAGGTGCAAATATTTTATTAACTGAAATAGGTGATGTTAAATTAGCAGATTTTGGAGTTTCTGCACAAATTACTGCTACAATTAATAAGCGGAAATCATTTATTGGTACTCCTTACTGGATGGCTCCAGAGGTACAGTTATTAAAAAATATCTTATTTCACTATTTTCTTATAAAGCCAATTTAATACTATACATAATTCTTCAATGCTTATTGATTACCTTATTTAACTTTTTATATTTGCATTTTCCAAAAATGAGGGTTTGGTGATTAATACATTATTTTTATAAACATGTATTACTGTAATTGTCACATTGTATCATTGTTAAACCCAAATATGTACTATTATGAAATGTTGCCTTTTATAGGTTGCAGCTGTTGAAAGGAAAGGTGGTTACAATCAATTATGTGATATTTGGGCTATAGGAATTACTGCAATAGAATTGGCAGAACTACAACCCCCTATGTTTGACTTACATCCAATGAGAGCTTTGTTTTTAATGTCAAAAAGTGGTTTTAAACCACCGACTCTTAAAGACAAAGATAAATGGTAACATATTCTATTTTTTAGTGTATTTCTTCCAGACAAAATAATTTCTTAAATTAATTATTACATACCTCTTGAAAATAAGTTTAATTACATTTAAAAACGTAGTTGTGTGATAAATAGAAATTAAATAAACAAAAATCAAGCTAAATCAATTTACATTTTGCTAATTAATGGTCAAAATTGGTTAATTTTGCAATACTGGAATGGATACATATTTTGATTGAATTGTTTCAGGAGTACTGTTTTCCATAATTTTGTGAAAACTGCACTCACAAAAAACCCAAAAAAGCGGCCCACTGCTGAAAAATTGTTGCAGGTAAAAAAAATTAAACATTTTTAGTAAATTGTACAAATTTGTAATTGTTTCCTTTCTGTTTACAGCATCAGTTCTTTCAAGGAGAAATGAGCAGAAGACTAGCGATTGAATTGCTGCAAAAGGCAAACAATCCATCGCACATGTTTACGGACATGGAAGCAGACGAAGACGGGGTAATACTGTCACTTAAAATCACTTTGAATGATGAAATTAATTTTTATTTTCTTGTATCTTCATACTATTTGTGTGTCTTTTTAGTCAGTACCAAATGTTCCTCAACGTATCGCATCACGATTGACATCACGCCCTAAGCATCGTAATTTAGCACATGTATCAAACCCAATTGATAGCATAGACGAAGTCAACAACACATTGCAACGACCAGGTATGTATTTGAGATTGATTTTCTTAAGTGTTATTATATTAATTAATTATTAATATTATAATAATTACACATAAATACTTTCTACTAAACAAATCTCAATGTAATGTTATCTGTTGTAGTTGGTATTTCGTAGTGTTTGTTCTTTACTTATATAAAATTTGAATTCACTACAGCAGACATAACAAAGATCTGTAGTTGACAAAATATACATAAATACATACGGGTATGTATGTATATATGTACTAATACAGTAAAATGAAAAATCATTTTTTGTCAAAGAAATGAGAAATTAATTATTTTGTCACTCACAATAAAATTTTTATTTCTCAAGAAACCACTTAAACAATTACTTTCTGTTTTATCTTACAAATTGTAGAATTTTGAGACACCATGTTTTTTTGGCTAAGTTAGCACTGCCTATCATTTAATTCTTGTTTTTTTTTGCAAGCAGTTTCCCATAAAGATTAATACACTTTTGTTTTTTTAACCGATGTTTTATATATGCATTGATAAAAGTCAAGTCAAGTCGTTTGCTTATCATTCGTGTAATATTGTTTTTTTCTTCTAAATTATTCCAGGACCCTCGCAAAACTCGAAAGAAAGTGCCAATAAGGACGTAATGGATATAATGGACATAATGAATAACGTAACAACAGTACACACTTGTGCTGAACACAAGAATAAAAAGTGTGGTATGGGCAATGCTTTCGACTCCCTGAACAGAGAAAAGTAAGTTGGATTTGTTTTTACCCCTGTTTTTTCACAGCAATGTATATTTTACAAAAATATTAAATGTACAATCAAAGGACAACACTGTTTATCATCAAGTAGAAGATAATTTAATAAGAATATTTCAAACATACTTTTATTACAGCAGTTTAACAACAGCTAATATACTATCAAATTTATACAAATATTTATATCATTATCGAACTATGAAAAAGTTAATCATAGTAAGTCCATTTATAATCTACATGATTAATTTTACACATTAAGAAAACATACCACAGTTTTGTTGCTTTGAAATTAAAATACTTGAAATTAATTCCGAATTCTCGTTTTAAAGTTCTGAAAGAAGAAGAATGACCGGATCGCAAATTTTAAACATGTCGTTAAGGTAGACGGTTTTTGGCTTGAGTTTGCGCATAAACTGAAATTTCTCTCCAAGTTTGGTTCTCTAATTCATTTACATTACATTTACTACAGGCTTTTTGCATGTTTTGCTCTGCAAAACTGGAGGATTTATATAATGTAACTAATTGTTTAATTTAATCATTAAAAGAAAAATACAAATCCACAGATGGAGTATTTTATTCGATGTTTTGTGGGCTGCTACGGCTAGCGTCCTCAGGGAACGTAGCGAGGGCATAAAAATCTTAGCTACGATTGTGCTGGTTACGTTCCCGTCACGCATCCCCAAGGATGCCAGCCAGAGTAGCAGATGAAGCGTCGAATAATTTACTCTATCCATAGACTTACTGAAATAGAAGAACGAATCATGCGTGAATATCAAACCTTCTTTATGAGGAATTTTTGAAGAATGAGTTGGTATTCATAATCTCTTATTTGTTTTTTTTTTTGTAATGAATATTTAACATTACAAAACACTGCATACAATTTTTCATAGCTCTGTCAAATCTACACGTTTTCTTGTTTTTTGTTTTTTTAATTATATTTCATTAATAGCTTTTCTCATTTCATATAATACATAAATAAATAAATAATATTAGTTGAACACTTGATCCATAGATTTTGATCCTAATTAACAAAATAACATATTTGGACACTTGTTGATTTTTTCGAATGGTAACCGGGAATCCGAAAGTTTAGTTGAATAAAGACTAAAGAAACTACCTATACCTCGAAATCCATTAAATAGTTCTAAATATACGATTATCATAACTATGTTGGAAATTTCCCGGTTGTCTTTCAAGTGTTATCATAACTTTTATTACTTCAATTTGCGAATGGATATTTAAAAACGATTAATTTATTTTAGAGTTTAGATAATTACATTCTTAATGTTATTTAGGAGTCTATTGCAGTACATAGATGAAGAGCTTATGTTGAGGTAATTTTTGTGTTTTAGAATTAACATTTTTGCTTTACTAACATAATAAATAATGATGATGATATAATAAAAAAATCAGGAACGGCTTCTTTTTGTTTCTTGGCTTTTTTCGAATTTCTTGGTACAGGGACTTCTTAAGACAAGGGAAAAGGCGAGATTAAGTCAAAAGTGATTGCTTTTTTTTGATTTTATAGGGGAACGTACAAATTTCGTCAAATGGACTCCTACGAACAACAGTAAGTGTACCCTAAAAAAATTCTGTAATTGATACATAGTTATTAGTAACTTTCACGTTTAAAAGATATTCAAATTTATTTACTGAATAAGGGTTTTAGATAAGTTAAAAATGTTTACCGATTTATCAGTTGAAATCTTTTTTCTTAATGGTTATTAAAGTAAAAAGCTTCATATCTTTGACGTTATATTTAAATCATTATAGTAAGTATTGAATTTGGATTGTTTTTTGCTTCAGAACTTGGCATATTACTAAATTAACATATATTTTAAGCTTTTTGCTAATTTTTTTCTTTAAATTCACTGATTGTACGCGATGCACGTATTTCATTATGCTGAAAGCACTTTTAAACTATGTAATTGAACCATTTCTTTACAAATTTTATGTACAGTGAAAATATGACTATTGAGTACGTATATTAAAAAATATATTCGATATAAATTATTTAGTTACATTATCGTTATTTACTGTTTACCTACAACTGCACAACAATATTTTTGATACACTATTTATTTTATTAGTAAAACCCGACTTAAAAAGAATTTTAATTCTACCATCAAAAAGTTTTTGGCTCTGGATGCTTTGTATTTTACAAATAAGCAAAAACAAGAAAATTGAGGGAATTTTAATTATTAATTTTTTTTATTGCAATTAGGGCAACTTTACCAGTTCAAGACACCGAAACAAATGTTCACGTGAAATGTGAAGTTCATACCATTCCTTCTAGTCCAACTAGTGACAACAACACATTCAACGGTTCTCCAAGACGACATTCTTCAGTCGATGAGTTGTATGGTTTGGTCAATTCGATGAATGTCAATGGCCAAAGGCAACGCTCCCTTAGTGATAGTGGTAGAAATGAGAGGACCGTGAATGGTATATTTATTTTATTTATGTTGGATTCGTTTTTATAGCCCTAAAACATTATAGTTGTACATTTACTTATATTTTTATAGGTACAGAGACTGAAATAAATCACGAAGGAAGCGCTCCTGATTTAGTAGTTTGTCCTCCAGTTCCACCAACAAGAAAACATAGAAGAAGACATACCCCACCCCGCCCCCCTAGCAATGGTTTACCTCCCACACCAAAAGTTCACATGGGAGCATGTTTTTCAAAGGTAAATTCTACGGTATACATTTGAGTGTACAATGTACATGGTCTTAATCATAGATCGTCAATCCGAACACTAATTGCAGACGCACCTTTACCTCTTCCTATCCTAAGTCAGTCTAGCATTTATAACTGTTTTGAAACTATAACAACCCACATCCTTAACTATTTGCATATCTCTATCTCTCTTTTCTGTGTACAAAGTTCTTTCGGTGTTTTCCCGAATGAATTAATATTGAATTTATAAACATAAAAATTGTTTAGGTGTTTAATGGCTGTCCCCTTCGCATATACTGCACTGCATCCTGGATTCATCCTGATACTCGCGATCAACACATTCTAATAGGGGCGGAGGAAGGGATTTACAATTTAAATTTGAACGAGTTACACGAGACGTGTATTGACCAATTATACCCAAGAAGGACCATTTGGATGTATGTCATCAAAGATGTACTCATGACATTATCAGGTAAGTAATCGACCTTATTTATATAAAATATTGTTGAAGATAATGCATTTTGTGTTTTTTTTAATGTAGTGACTTTAAAGGAATTTTTGTTTCAAAACCCAAAAGAATTTTGAAGCTTATATTACTAATTTCGATATTATTTTAAAGGTAACGGTAATGCAAAATTCAGTAAAGATTTTATGACAACTTTTTTTTTTATTCAATTAACATTTTACTGAAAACCTCTTTAAAGGCGATTCTATTTCAGGGAAAACCCCACATTTGTACAGACACGACCTGTTGGCGATGCAAAGTAAACAATCTCACAGGTTCAGTATTCATATGAACCGGATACCAGAAAAGCTTGTGCCGCGCAAATTCGCTCTGACGACGCGCGTACCGGACACGCGCGGCACGCTCAAATGCTGCGTGTCACGGAATCCGTATAACGGTTACAAATATCTTTGCGGCGCCACCTCGTCTGGCATCTACCTCATGCAATGGTATGACCCACTGAATAAATTCATGTTGCTAAAGGTACCGTCTTTTTTTTACTACCTTTATTAAGTATCATTTAACTTCAATATATTTGATTGCAGCATGTAGAATGCACTTTACCGAATCCACTAAACGTTTTTGAAATGATAATAACCCCAGAGCTGGAGTATCCGGTGGTTTGCGTATCTGTAAAGCAAGCATATCAACCTAACAGATTCAAATTGGATTTGATCAATATGAATTCAGGTGAGTGGCTTATACGTGTAGAATTATACATAAAAGAAATTTTGATTGCTTTCAACACTGGCCAAATTAGTATTACGTAGTTAATATCAGCAATTTCTTATGTTGAAGTGTACGATGTGTTGCATACCTATTTACAAACAATTTTTTTAAATTTTGATCATTGATTACTATACAATCTATTAAAAAACCATAATGGCCGACATCAGTGACAATGCGACAACAATTGAAAAAGAATGATGGCCGACAATGCGACAACAATTGAAAAGGAATGATGGCCGCTAACAGCAACAATTAGAAAAGAATGATGGCCGACACTACGTCATAATATTGTTCACAAAAGTGAAGAAGTGAATTTCGACTCAAAGCAATAATGCTAACAGTTTCGAGCCCACGGTGACTGATAGGGGGGAAGAACTAGTTGGCATAATAAAAATTAACAAAACGTGAATGTATGTATATAAAGGGGCACGCATATGATTGTAAATCGTAGTCTGAATAAATAAATGTGCGCTCATGCAAAAACTATGTAGACGACAACGATGACTTTAACAGCTGCAACTAGACGTATTCTCTTGCTACGGAAAAGAGGGGCAAACAACGTTGTTTTCTTCCTCATCATAAAGTAAACGAAGCTGCGCATCATTTGCGTGAGTGGCCTGATACTGTACTATAAAAAGTATCACCACGCAGGCGAAATTGCGGAAATCAGCTGATATTAAATATAGTAATAATAATGTTTTCAACTAAACGGTTTGGTTAAAACTCTTCCCTAAGACGTTGGAGACAATATTTTTTTAGATTTTGCTAAAAATTTGAAAAAACAATAAAGACGTCATAATTTCAGGTGCGAGTTGGTTCCATTCGGACGAATTGCAAGACATGGATGGTACGACTACTGTTATACCAAAACGCGAAAATTTAAACATTGTCCATGTGTCCCAACTAGAAAAAGATTCAATTCTCATTTGTTACGACAACGTAGTCAAAATTGTTACGCCGCAGGGTAAAGTGAAAATTAGCAAAAAACAAGTGTTAGAATTAAAATTCGAATTTCGAATAATGAGTGTTGGTAAGAAACTTAGAACTTTTCAGTTTGCCTAGTGAAATACTAATTAATTATACTTTTACATTACAGTTTGTCTGCCGGATAGTGTTCTGGCATTCCATAAGCATGGCATGCAGGGCCGGTCTTTTAAAAATGGTGATATTACTCAAGAGATTACAGATCTTTCGAGAACTTACAAATTATTGGGGAGTGACAAGTAAGTGTCTATCTTTTTATTAATTTAGTTCGTGAGATACTACAGGTAAATTCGAAATCGCTTAATTAACCACAACTTTAAATTTATTTTTAGAGTTGTAGTGTTAGAAAGTAATCTTCTTCATTCCGGAACGTTGACAGGGGAGGAGGGGCATGATCTTTACATATTAGCCGGTCACGAAGCGAGTTATTAGGTTTACTAAATTAAATACATACTTTAGGTGGAATTGATTTTTTTTCTTCTTAAGACGGTGGTTTTTAACAATTCGGTATAACTTCTTATAAGCCACCCTAGTAAAAAAATAATAATAACTAATAACAAAATTAATTTTTAAAATATTGAGCAGTATTTATTTTAGATACGGTATATATAATATTAGTATATACGTGTAAATCCAAGCTCAGTAACAAAATCAAAAATAATAAACCTCTTCTGCTTATCTTAGGCTGCTTAGGAAAAACTGATTTAATTTATTCTAGAACCAACATATTATGCAAATGATTAAATAGACATATATCAAATCAATACAGAAATCAAAGTTCATCCACCAAAATACATTAAGACAAAGGGGGTAAGAGTAATAGATAAAACAAAAATCAAATGTGAGTCTTACAGTAGTTGCCAGTGATGCGTACCATCTAACAAAGGTAGCGTAATGGCAATGTATCGTGCTGTTCAAGACCAAGACTTATTTCTCTTTTTCCTCTCTCTATTCAAGCGTCAACTGTAGACAGCATCGATTGAATAGAACGCGTTTCTTCTTTTGTACTTTTGGTTAAGCGTTTTGGTGCATTCGCGAAATTACTGGAATATTTCCACACACATGTACCAAAAGTATTAATGAGCGAAGGGTTGATTTTTGAATCATTATATCTATGTACTACTTTAGTACCTTCTGGCAGAAGAATGGAGTGGTACTAAGAGTCCACTCTGGGTATCATTAATGCTAGTTATGCCACTGTACACAGCACCGTGAATTAAATTTATAATGCAATGTAAATCTCTGAAATATTTTTATTGAACAATTTTTCTGTGCAAGGTGACCACAGTCTATTTACTGGGAAAAAGATTATCACAAAATTTTAATGTGGACAGTATACTGTCAAATTTGGTGGAATAATAATAAAGTAATAGATTTAGTAATTCGCTCTGTGTACCTTGAAACTTGAATTAGGTAGTTGTAAAATAGAAATTATTTTGCACTAAAACTTTATTAGATGTAGGTAATAACAAAGAAAAATTAAAATATATTTAATTATTTACGCAAAACACCATTTTAAATTTGCACATTTGACATACATATAACTTTTGATAGGGACTGCTCTTTAAGTATAAAAATGCGGCAGACAGAATTCTATTTTTGAATAGCTCTAATAAATAATTGTTCGGTGTTTTAGTCTCTCGAAATTGATAAAATTAAAAGGTAAACGTCGATTTTATCTCGATATTAGGTAGATAATAACCAATAACTATAATAAAATTACTTCAATTTTATGTTTTAAATCTTAATGGTATCCACGGTTAAAATTAATTTAAAAAATGCATTACTCTTGAGGGCAAACTAAAAAGTATTTTATATTTAACCTAGCATATAGTACTTTTCTTTTATCGTATTTTTTGTTCTAAATTGCTAAATCAATAATAGATCAGTAAGTAAAATAGAACAACAAACTTTAAACACACACATTTTTATGAGATGAATTCTGTTTTTCATGTTTTTTTTAAGTGATAGTTAATGAAAGAAAAAAGACTTTGTTTTTTGCATGAAAAGCTATTACGTAAAGTTTTGAATAATTAACATTTTGATTTCTGTATTTGATACTGTTTATAGGACAGCATTCTTGGCTGTGTTTAATCTATAGCTTTTACTTTATCATTGTAAATATTGTACATTAAATTAACATAAAGATTACCTACCAAAAAACCTATTTATTGCCTAGATTTTTTTAATTCAAACGTATCAAATATAGTTCATAATTTGTATATAATTATTATTATATGAAAGGCGTTTATTTGTATTTTTTTATTTGTTTTGTACAGGCTTATTATAAAATCGGAAGTTTCCTTGATAAAAAAGTATTTCAGTTCTTTGTTACATGTTATTAAGAGAATCATAAACTTGCATANAATTGCTATTAAATTTTTCTTAATTTAATTAATTCAGTACATTCACACCTCCGACAATATGAACTGGTCTTCCTTTATACTTTTTGGATATTTCTTCTTCAATTTGTTTTTGTAATACTTTAGTATTTGATATGATAGTGTTCAAAATTGGTTTAATTTTTTTAATTTCTGCTTGCGACGCAACTATCTGATCTTCAAGGCACTTCTTTTTTTGTTGCAACCGTTCAACAATTGATAGTTTCTGCTTTAAAGTTGATGTTAACATATCCAAGTACTTGGGGGAGTGTTTAATATTATGTAAATGTTGCAGTCGTTTGTTGTTTATCTCATTAAGTGCAATCTGAACGTTATCATGTATTGCAGTTACAGTTTCTACAGTCTGCATTAAGAGAATTGTGGGGGCATCTGGCATTTGGGAAATAGAAAATAAACTAGATTCGCTTGACATTTCAAAAATGCGCATCTTCAAGAAAGCGCTGAGCTCAATTAAATCGTTCAGAATGCGATCTCGGGTTTTTGGATTGTCTAGAATTGTTAATGCTTCTTCCCCACGTGCAATTCCACCATCCAGTCCAGAATTTTCAACAACTATACCAGACTCTTCTAAAGAAACATCCAAATCTGAATGTTGAACAATCTCAAACCCATCTTCTGTTTTCAAATTTCCCCAATCTATTTCTTCATCCGTCTCCTTGTTTTCAAAATCAATTGTTATATTTTCAGTGTTAATATCACCAAAATCTATGTCACCTCCATAATCAATTTCTTCGGCATTTTGTTGGCTTTCATCATCTGAATATTTTAGTTCAGGAGATTCAATTGATAAAGGTTTCTCTCCATACATATACTCATAAGTTGTACTATTACCATTTTTGATAAGGTACGACAATGTTGGTAAAACCTCCATGTTTCTATCTAAATTGGAAAGAAAACTCACAAAGGCAGAATATAACTTAATTGCATCTTCCACTCCTTTCATTTTTGAGGCGGTTTCTTTATAAATTTTTGGGAGCTCATCTAGTAATCCAATCAATTCTTTTTTGATATTTTGCCCAGGGATTCCTAACTGTTTACATGTTTGTTTAAATTCATTCAGTGTTGATGTTTCTGCTTTTCCATAATCTTTAATTTTTTTTTCACAATCCAGCTGTGTCTAAAACATTGTGTAATTTAAAATATGAAATAAATAATTTCTTTAAAAGCTTACCTGCTCACACTTGGCAATTTGTTTCTTTAAACTTGGAACTTCAAAATTTACATTCCTTATAAGAATTTGGGCAGCTTCTGCGAGGTACAAGTTTTCCTTTTGATATTTATGTATAATATCTTGCCAATCTTTCATTCTTTGTGAACCATAACGACCAAAGACATTTTTTGTGTCAGCTTCAGTTTCTTTAAGAATATCCACTATTTTTAAACAATGAAAATAATTGATGTGTTGTCCAGAAAGCAATTTAATTATGCCTTCATGGACAGGCATGTCTTGAATCGCAGCATTAATTTTTTCACGAATATTTAGAATATTATTTTGCCAATCCTTACTTACATGTCTTCGACTAATTAACCAATCTAGTATTTTATTTGTGTTTATATCGATGGGAATATGTTGTTCATCCATTTCACATGCGAATGTAGTTTAAAATTAAGTAACTAATTATTTTGTAAAATTATAGTAACATATGTTCTATATTTACGTATTGGTTAATACCATAGATAACAGAAACGAAGTGTTATAGAACTTCATTTTTAAAATATCTTAGCAGCTATCAATAAAAATGATCGGTGTAACTATATGATCACATAGCGATCAATAAAATAAATATTGACTAATTATGTTAATCGATTAAATCATAAAACATTTTGGCAAAGAGTGTCGTTTAAAGTGCAACTGCTTTTAAAAGATTATTAATTTCTATCAAAATTTAAACGGGTCGCAAAATAAGAAAAGAACGTAGATTAAAACAAATATTTTTATTGTACTACAAAAAATACAGCTACATATATACACTTTTAAGAATACAAAAAATAGTGTTATATACAAGTTTTAATTTCTTGTCGAAGGAATTTTATTTACAATGAATTATAATTATTGTAGGGTAACTGATACTGTTAAAATATTGCTGTAGTAAAAATTAAGCTTAAAAGATAGAATTTTAAATTAATAAATAAGTAATAACTTACTACAGGCTATGTTTAAATATAAATAAAATAATGTTGAAGTAGATTCGCGAATTTGAACATTTCTACAAGAAAAACTATACAAGTGCAAGTACGTTGTACATTTACAGATTAAGCGAGGGCAAGTATATTTCTCAAAAACAAATTAAAATAATTTAACGCTGACCTTATGTGTGGAATTAATTTACAATTAAAACTATTAATAAGAGTGTTCCAGTCTTTTCTATAATTAATGATGCTTACTTTTATAATACGTTTTTAAAACTATCAGCTGTATTCGTTTCCTTCATACAATCCTTCACAATATTCTAATAACTTAAGAATAGGGCTTATATTATAAGGAAATAGATCTCTAGATACTAAACGATTAATTTGAATTTTTAATCTTATGAGTACCGTCATAGTGCTATCAAGTTCGTTTGTTCTGGACAACGCACTCGAACTATCACAGCTATGGACGAATTTAGACCAATTTTTACGTATATATTTCAAAAACCTTAACAAATATAACAAGAAACAGGTCTCATTGCTCACCAAGTAATCGAGCAGTACATCTGAATCGTGACTTACTACTTTAAGGAATTCTAGAAAAGAATTTACGGGATTCAGCATATTAGCAAGATCAGGGAATACAGCATTGCGGTACGATATTCCGACTGTTATATCGAGAAGACAAACCATTGACTCTATCATATAATCGTCCTGGTCACTAAATACATTAACTAATAATTTAGAAAAGGGAGTTTCAGGATGATAGTCTAGACTACTCTTAGTAAAAATATCAACCTTCTTAAGAACGTCTCGTATCGACCTCTCAATCAGTTGCATATCCTGATAGAAATCGTAATCGTCAGAACCTACACTAGAATCGGAACTGTCAGACCTGGTTTCTTTTATAGTAACAGCAACCGACTTGAGAACTAAAAGAATTATTTTCTGAATGAGTGTTCTGTCTATAGCAGTGGACGTTGTTGTACCACCACTGCTGGCTATTGTCCCAACAAAACTATGCACAACGTAACCATCTCTACATCTGTAGGGCAGACTATCTAATAATCGAAAATCTTTAACATAGCGAACGATCAAATGCGCTAATTGGCACGTATCATCGGGGAGCATGTCTTGTAAAGCTAATGTACTACCGTAACATAGTACTTCGTTGAATAATGACAGCAACTGTTTCCAAATTATACAAGGCAACGAATTATTAAGGAGATTCACGAAATTTTCGAGATGAGCGTAGAACGGTTTGATATCGATGACACTCAAATTCGCTCTGACCGATATTGTACTTTCCCATAACATCAAGAACGAAATTATACATGTTTGTGCTTCAACAGAATTATTGTTCATGATAAGATATTGTATTTTACTTATCAAATTAGGCCACTTAGATTCAAGTTGTTTAATTAAAAGACCTTTAATACTAGAGGTGTCATAACTTTCAGCATCTACATATTGTACTTTGGAACACTTTGAAGAAGCATTAGAAGTTGTTTGGCTAGTACTAGCACCATCTGCTTTAACTTGAGACTCATCCAGAATATGAATATCAACATCTTTCCATTCAACTACCCTTCTAATAATTTCTAAAGCAAAATTAATGTTTTTATAGTCCATACTATTAAGTTGTAAGTATCCCATTATACTTTCCAGCCACAAATTATCAATATTAGTTTTTGCAACGATTAAAAAGCTGCTGACAACTTTTGCTGCTGCATAATTAACATACTTATTTCTAAGTTCACACAAAGCAATAATTTGCTGGATGAGATTATACTCATTTCTGATGAACAAATCACAAACATTTACAACTGCAGAACAGATCATTCCCTGATTATTTTGTTTCAAATAAACACTTAATAGCAAGTCTACATGAGATAGAAATTGCAAAATTTTGTCTATGGCAAGAGTTTCTAAAGTTATCATCTTTGTACCATTAAGTTTGTTTTGATAGAGTGAGTCTAAAATTTTCTGCAAAAAACTGTTTGGAATGTCACATAAACACTGTTCAACCAATGCATTTCTAAACATAGAAAATATATCTTCTGTATTACCTTCTACTTCTACCCTTGAACTGGATGGATCTTTCAAATTGTTTAAATTATTACTTTCACCTTTAGAATCCACTATTTCACTTATTAAAAAACTATTCTTTGAATTATGTGAACTGTTGATATTGTTCTGGTTATCATGAGAAATATTACAGTTTGTGTAATTGGTCCAAGGAAAATTTGCACTAGACACATGGCAACTATTATCAATTAGTCCAGAATAACTTGAACTAGAATTACATATCAATGAATTGCATTCTCCAGCAGAGGAACTGTTGTAACTACTGAGACATGATTCACTTTTTTCTTTACGAATTACAATATTAGGTGCTGGCTCCAAAGACATATTTGCACAATTAGATGCTTGTGATATAAACCTTGTATCATCAGTTCCATTAGTCCTTATTATTTCACTATCAGTGGTCCTCACATTAACATTGTTTTCACTATGAAACTGAGTTGAAATAGTTTGCCTATTTATTTCATTAATGTCAGATGGCATAGAAAGATGCAGTGCTGATAATTCATTTCGCATTCCATTTTCTGCCAAATTATGAATGTAGTCTGGTTCATCCTCACTTCTAATGTTATTAGTTCTTTTTAATCTCTTTTTAACTGGCTGTTCTGAGGCCATTTTAAACTCACGATGCCTTAGGACCATTAGAAATTAAGTTTTGTAACTGGCATAAACACAGATGTTTGTTCCTTCTATTGCACAGTAGCAGTTTTCCTACAACAAAAATGGAGAATTAAGGATCATGGCAAGGTTATACTATATTTAATGTAACAAAAGTATAATAATTATAAATAAGAACTCCTTTAATGTGCAAATTTGAGTAATAATTAACAAAATATTTGCGCAAAAGTAAACACATTCACAATACCACTTCTAAATTTGGTTCACGTCACTGTAAGAAAAATATTTAGCGAACATATACTTACTCATTCAAAAAAATCGCAAAGACTTCCGTTAAACAGTAAAAACAACTTTAGTGTCACAGGTCTAATAATCTAACGCACAAAATATAAACATTCATAACATAAAACTCCATTACTGTCCATTTCGCTGATAGAAATAACACACATACTGAGTCAATTCGATTACTATTTTCATACTCATTTAAATTTAAAATAGTGTTAAAATATATATACGCATATAATATTATTCATAGAAGAAAAACATTTAATATTCTGAGCCTATTAACAATAACCAACTAATATTTATTAAACAATTATTATATATTTTAAATTAAGTTGCTCATTTGATCATTAAAATTGCTCAACAAGAATTTGCTGTGTTGCCATTTTTATTAAAAGATTTCATGAATTAAATGTTATATCTTATTTTTAATTAGTTGAAGTGCAAATAAACTACAAAAAACAAAACGAGATTTCTAAAAAACAATTCCGTTAAAAATAGCTTTTTTATTTCTCCAAAATTCTAGAGCTTAACAAGATGAAACAAAAAACTTCAACGCCCTGTGCGTAATTCCAGAAGTTGTTTGATGAGTCGTTTGTTGTTTAAATAATTTTATTAACCAGTTTTTTCGAAGAAAAATGTAATTTGTTTTTAGCTGTTTAGAAATTATATGGCTTTTACCCTTTTCTGTTGATCTTTGTTACTTTTCTCTAACTTTTCGTTTCAATTACATTTTATACATTTGAATTTGAACGATGCTTGAAAATGTAACATTCATTTATGCATTTACTGTTTATGATGCTTTTTAAAATTTAGTTTAAAATTTTAATTTATAATTATGAAGAATATGTGAAAATTATGAAAAGGTGTGGTTTGATTCATCATCGATTTGAATGAAAACTCGACAAACAATAATAATAATAATATTTAATAATAGTTTTTGAGGTTAATTCTGATCTTCATTATCAATTCATTTCCAAATGTCTTGATAAAGAAAGATGTCGCTTTCTTAAGTTTGTTGATTGATAACAATTTTTTGTTATGCTTTACGGCTTTAAAAACAATGTATTTTTAGAATTTGTTAGTTATTATTCGGAAATTAATTAGAATAAAAAAGAATTTTCAACATTTGTGACAGTTCGGTTGTACTGCAGTGGGGGTGTAAGTGTTAATGGCTTCCAAAAGTAACGAAGAGAAATGTCGCGACATAAGGAATTACTTTGAAGTAATTCTACTTTTAAGGTAAATTTGGCTTTTATTTGTATTTTATTATTTGCTACATTAAGAATGTATCAGTTGTTTCTGATTTATGCATCTTGCTTCTATTTAGGTTAATGTACGGTGTTGTTCACCCTACTTTAAAATTTAGGACTTTCAATGTAAATTGCTTAAACATAGAAATTCATTCGTATAATTATTAAATTTGTTTATAGCAAGAAAAGAAAATTATACATATGTTTATTGTATTTAGTAGAAAAACTAAGTAATCATGAAATATATTCGTCAGAAGGAAGAGGTGTCTTCATTTGTATTTTGAATATTAAAAAACCTATTTCGGAACATTTCAGTACCTGTTACTGGAAACAACTTCTTTACTTTTAATAAATTATTCCGTATAGTATCTAACCCGCAGTTTATACTCAAATAGGTTATGTTGTTAATATTATATGACAAAAAATGATAATGTAAAAAATTTCATGTTTACTTATACTTTTATTTACTAAATTACAAATGGCAATTTTTCATAAGAGTTTCAAAAGTTTCATTTTTCAATTTTAGATGGTACATATTACTGTAACACACATTTTTAAAATATGTAAGTAGTTGCAATTGTCTCTTAGTTTTATATTAGCTTAGGTGATCTTAAATGATTGACTAATTGTTTTACTGTTTTTTATAGATGTTTGTAATATTTGAGCCAAATGAGTGACAATTATAATAAGATAATGCCAGCTGTTTCGGGAGAACAGCGGCTTCGGCAACTCGAGGCTCTTTTCCTCGGGGGCCCCATACAAGCCAAAGGACAAAGCTTTAGTATCGAAACTCTTATAGACGTGCTTCTGGTATTGTATGATGAATGCTGCAATTCAAGTCTCCGTAGGGAAAAAACAGTTTCAGATTTTATAGAATTTGGTAAGAAAAGAAAATAAAGATTTTATTTACGGTGTAGATTTATAAAATTTTGAATACAAATAAGCCGAGAAAGTAATTTGAATTTTTTGTTTCTACATATGTTATTTTTTCAATTTTTAAGTCTGGTATTATAATTTTTAATAGCTAAACCTGTTGCAAGTTCTATAAAATCGCTTCGCATGACAAGAGAAGATTTTGAAATTATTAAAGTTATTGGAAGAGGAGCCTTTGGTGAAGTATGCGTGGTAAAAATGAGAGGATCAGATAAGGTGTGATATTTTAAAAATTGTTTTGTATAATTATTTACAATTAGTAATGACAATTTTAGGTTTTTGCAATGAAAATTTTAAACAAATGGGAAATGTTAAAAAGAGCAGAAACAGCTTGCTTTCAGGAAGAGAGGAATGTACTTGTTTTTGGAGATCGCAGATGGATAACCCATTTACATTATGCCTTTCAGGTACTTTAAACTATGAAAAAAGAAAACTCTGTTTCAGTTCTGTTTATTTCTTTTTATATTGTATATTGTAGGACGAGAACAATTTGTACCTTGTTATGGACTATTATTGCGGCGGAGACCTTTTAACATTATTAAGCAAGTTTGAGGACCGTTTACCGGAAGATATGGCCAAGTTTTACATTGCAGAAATGGTTCTAGCCATAGATTCTATTCATAATTTAGGATATGTTCATAGGTACTTCGTTTTAACATTCATTTGCCGTTATTTTTATGATTTTGTTGTTTAGTAATTTTTTAAATCTTTTTTTACAGAGATATAAAGCCCGATAACGTATTATTGGATGCAAATGGTCATATACGACTGGCGGATTTTGGTAGCTGTTTGAAATTAAATGAGGACGGTATGGTTCAGTCAAATGTCGCCGTTGGGACTCCGGATTATATTTCTCCTGAAATTTTAAGGGTAACAAATGTCTATTAGGAAAAAAAGCACATGCATGTAGTAATGTTTTGTTTATAGGCAATGGAAGATGGGCAAGGACGATACGGTCCAGAGTGTGACTGGTGGTCACTCGGTAAGTTTAAATATTTTCATGGAATCATCTTATTGTGCTTTTTCTTTTAAGGTGTTTGTATGTATGAGATGTTGTATGGAGAAACGCCGTTTTATGCGGAAAGTCTTGTTGAAACTTATGGAAAAATAATGAATCACAAGAACTGCTTTGATTTCCCTTTGGATATTGAAGTATCTGATGCTGCGAAAGATCTCATAAAGCAATTAATTTGTAGTCAAGAATTTCGATTAGGACAGAACGGTATTGAAGACTTTAAGGTAAGAATTTTTGAAAGAAATAAAATAATACATTTATATAAAAATAAATGCCCAATTTCAATGATGAAAAATTAATCTGACGAATAGCTAGGTCTGATCTGTGCTGTAAACCTTGGAATCTTGGTGTTTAGGGGCTAAAATCTATACACTGTAAAGGCAAGGTGAAATTAAGTTACAATAATAAAGAAAGTACAATTCCAAAACCTGATGTTCAGCTGTTGAGTTCAAAGATGAATGGACGGTTTTAGGTTGACACAATTAAAAGTAAAACATCCAGCAACAGTTTTGATAAAAGTAACAAAAAACAATAATTCTATTTTTCATTAATTACAATTTTTTTTTAATTTCTTTAATGTTGGATGTTTTACTTTTAAATATTTTTGAAATCAGCATTGATAGGATCACTATTCATTTATGATTATTCTTTAGTAATCTGAGAAATCACAAAAATCTTAACAAACGCCTAGCAAAGGTCCAGAATAAAAAATTAAATAAATAAATATTGTAGAATCATCCGTGGTTTGAGGGAGTCGATTGGGAAGGAATAAGAGATAGCGCGGCGCCTTATATTCCTGAAGTGTCTAGTCCCACAGACACGTCGAATTTCGACGTCGATGATGCCGATATTCGAATATCAGACGCGCTGCCCCCAACGGCTAATTCGGCATTTACGGGGCTCCATTTACCTTTTGTAGGTTTCACGTTCACTCAGGGAAGGTAATAAGTTATTCCTGACGATTTTTTAATTATGAGTTGAAAATAATATTTTTATGTTACAAATTTCTATTGCAAAACTTAATTAAAATAATAAAATTTTTTGGTAATCGTTCTGAAAAATTGGGAAATGTCAGAGAATTTTATTTGAAATGAAGAATTTTTCCATACAGCAATTCGCTCTCGGTTGTTTTTTTTTTTAGTACATCTGTTTCACAAAAATTGTTCTGTAAATAATCTAAATTTAGTCATGAATTTCGACCTTTTTCTACCTTCGGTTTTAAATTATTTCATATTATAATTCCAGCTCAGAAAAAGCTGACATGGTAAATTCAATTTGTGAAGAAAATGCTCACTCTGCAATAGTCTAAATTTATTTACATTGTTATTAATAACTAACACCATAAAACATGAATTAAGAGGAATTTGTGTATTTTTAGTTGTATTTCGGACATGGGTTCTGCCATGAGGAATATGAACGCAAATAATTTCTATGTAAATAATGTGGGAAAACAAGATAATCGAAATAATGGTGATATAAAAACGCTGGCCTTAAATCAAGACAAAATAGAGAACGAAAAGAAAACATCTCCGGACAGTACTCGGAAGCTTCAAGACGAAATCAATATGTTGACTAAAAAGAACGGAGAATTGGAAACTAAACTTCGCACTTTAGAAAGTGGACATTCTAAAGAAATTTGTCTCGATTCCACGGATGGTTCAGAAGCGAGTATGTAAAAATAATACATTTAAAGTTTTACAAAAGCTCACATAAGATGAAAAACGCAGATAGTTTTATAAATATTATATGACAAAAAATGATAATGTAAAAAATTTCATGTTTACTTACTTATACTTTTATTTACTAAATTACAAATGGCAATTTTTCATAAGAGTTTCAAAAGTTTCATTTTTCAATTTTAGATGGTACATATTACTGTAACACACATTTNGTTGACTAAAAAGAACGGAGAATTGGAAACTAAACTTCGCACTTTAGAAAGTGGACATTCTAAAGAAATTTGTCTCGATTCCACGGATGGTTCAGAAGCGAGTATGTAAAAATAATACATTTAAAGTTTTACAAAAGCTCACATAAGATGAAAAACGCAGATAGTTTTATAATATATATTAACTAAATATTTAATACATATAACTTCTATTCTTTTGTGCCGTAGATAAAATAAGAGAATTCGAGAAAATCATTAAAGCTTTGAAACAAGAAAAGGAGGAATTTCAAAAAGATAAACTAGATTTACAAGAGAAGATTAAATTGCAAGACAAAGAACTAAAAGATGCTTTGGCGCAACGAAAATTAGCAATGACTGAATATTCTGAGGTGTCCGATCGTCTGTCTGAACTACGTCAACAGAAACAAAAATTATCGAGACAGGTACAATTAAAGTTGTATGTTTTCAAAATTAGACGAAAGAGGTTGAAGCCGGTATACATAGACTGCATGCATTTTGATATTTGACATTACTTTTGGTCTGAAATGATCATGTTTTAATTTTTCATGAAAAACTACTTAAGATTCGTCGTCTTGAAATTTATGGATTAGATAAAAAATAAATTTAATGTTACATGAAAAACAACCGAACAATTTTTTGCATTTTGTCAGCCGTCTTTGAATGTTTTTAAATATTTTTATTCTTAGGTGCGCGATAAGGAGGAAGAATTGGAAACTGCAATGCAAAAAGTGGATACATTAAGACATGATATTCGTAAAGCGGAAAAGCTTCGACGGGAATTAGAGTCTCGTGTGGAGGAAGCTCTTGCAGAAGCCAACAAGGAAAGAAAACTCAGAGAACGGTCGGAGGAATACTGCAGGCAGATGCAGGCAGAATCGGATCGGTTGAGGGTGAGAAGCGACATTGGTTCTCGGGATCAGCAGGATGCCCAGAGACTTAAAGCAGAACTGGAGAAATTGGAGGTAAAATAAAAAAGCCTTCTGTCAATGTAAACTTCATTTATACTTATTATTATGGTAAAGAAAATGATTTGAAATCGCAGCTTTTTCAAAAAAAAAAAAACAGGCTTGATGACGTGAAATATCTTTTGGCATGTGTAGGGGGTTTCGTAAAACTGACTCAAGCGTGGCAAGACTGAGCAACGCTTCGTTCGGCCAGCTTCGTGATTTGTCGGCTTTTACAGCTCGGTCGTCAAAACTCTGCATTTAAAAGAGATTAAATTTAAACCAAAAGTGATCTAATACCTTCTTTTTTATTGGATTGTATATATAAAATGGTTTCCTGACCTTTAACTGGTATTTTAGTATCTTTATCATGACTTATTTGTTTCATCTAAAAGCATATCACTATATAACTACCGTCAAGATTAATTTCACTAACAATAAGTAAGTTAACAATCGACAAAATAGAAATTTAAATAGATAAAAAAAATATTTTGATAAAAATTAAAATCTAGTATTAAATCTTATAATAGTAATTACATTGACTGGATGTTTTTTCATTATAAATTATTTGAACAAATTTTCATATTTGTATGTATATTTATTCGTCTTTTTTATCTATAGGTTCAGTATAACGAAAGTTTAACTCAACAGCAAACAAGATACAATATGGAATTATCATCACTACGAGAACAACTGACTGAAGCAGAAAATCATAGAGACCTGTTAGAGCGTGAAGTACGTTATTTATATTATTTTTGTCTTTTTTTTAACGAAACTTCTTTCCATTTATTAAGCAGGGTTTTATTATTATTTTTTTTTAATTTAATTTTTTTATTTTCATATTTATTTTTTCCTTTTGTGTTCTTGTTCAATTTAGGTTCAGGTATTAAAAGACAAACTTGAGAAGGCAAGAGTAGAGGCAGTCGCTGATTCAGAACAGACTGTGACCGAAATTAACCGCAGGAATGATAGAGAAAAACAAATTATGCGAGAAGATAACGAGAAACTTCAGTTAAATGTTAATTTAGTGAGTTTCACCTGAAATTCTAAGAAACTAACATTGGTCACTAAAAATTAAATAATCATTGAGGGCATTTCTTCTTAGTAATTATTTTTAACTTGTCATTTATTTATTAATATCAAGAAGACTATAGATAGAAGCAAAAGTTTAATGTCTAAAAAGCATCACTGGTAAAAAAGAATAGAGAAATCTCCAAACTGAGCGACATACTGAGAGCAACGTTTTTACGGTTCGCTCTGTATATTAAGCAATCTTACGTAGTTTCTACTCCTATCTATACTCTTCTTGATTTATATATAATGATTCATAGCTGAATGGCAAAAAATGAAATCGTTAAAGTTTGTTATGTTCTTCCCTTCGTCTCTGTCTGTCACACCCTCTACATTTGTAAAGCTATTTGAATGAAATTTTACTTAGGAATGCTTTAGGAAAGGAATCTCTTCTATGTGGCTATCTTTCTTCAATTTTGAATGTGTAACGTCTTTCCGCTGGGTATGTGTGTACATATATGACACTGTGGGAGTGATTTTGTGGGTACGAAAGAAATAGAGAGAAAGAAGAGCGCACTGTCCAGTCGATTTTGCTTATAGTTAGCATTTGAATAAAGAAAGAGGAAGAGAGAAATATAGGGAAAAAGGTTGAAAGACGCAGTTGTCAACCGTTCGTTCTTTTAACATTGGTTTTTGAACAACATGACGCATTGCCATGTAGCTTATCTTGTGAAGTTATTAGTTTGCTCATCAACGCTGTGTGATGTTACCACTGGGGCTCGCTTTTTTTAAATACCTTCAATCCTTAAGTAGGGGCAAAAAAATTATAGTCGTGTACCCCATCTTCTAGACAAACACTGGAAAGCAATTTTAAAATAAAGTGGGACTCATATTTTCCACTTTTCATTTAAATATTCCGTTTGCAACATTGGAATCAAAAACATTTTTTTAACACCGAACCGTGTGTTGGACATTTGGGTACTCCTTTTTAAATACATTTTCATTTTATGTGTGTTTTTATGAGGGGGCTCGCTTTTTTTAAATACCTTCAATCCTTAAGTAGGGGCAAAAAAATTATAGTCGTGTACCCCATCTTCTAGACAAACACTGGAAAGCAATTTTAAAATAAAGTGGGACTCATATTTTCCACTTTTCATTTAAATATTCCGTTTGCAACATTGGAATCAAAAACATTTTTTTAACACCGAACCGTGTGTTGGACATTTGGGTACTCCTTTTTAAATACATTTTCATTTTATGTGTGTTTTTATGAGCTTGATATGTGAATTTTTTCATTTGTTCTATTTTTTGTTTTATTTAAAAATGTATTAGATTGTTTTCCTACTACTTTAAACAAAGGCAATTTTCTGATATAATAATTAAATAGTTTTTTTACTAACCAATTTAAAAACCTTTTGCTTATTAAGTTATACATACTTGGAAAAAGCTTATTAATCTTTGCTATTATATTAGTAAGTGGGGGTCTTTTAATTTCTATTGATTGAGTACTGTTTTAATGTAGTATTTTTGACGGTGTGATTATGGATTTCGCTGCTTTTGTGTTTGTTACCTCTGAGGTTGGCCTGAAACATCCGAACCAAAACACTTGCTTATCAAAATTCTTATTTGTTGTTTCTATTCTAGTTGTCAGAGCAACTAAGTCGACTGCAAAATGAACGTACGGCTATCGAAATTGAATACGAGCAATTGCGAGGAAAGCAAGAGACACTCAGTCAATGGGAATCACAACTGGCCGAAATCATACAATGGGTTAGTGACGAAAAAGACGCAAGGTCGTATTTACAAGCTTTAGCCACAAAAATGACTGAAGAACTGGAGTATTTGAAACATTCTGGTAAGTGTAACTTCTTTTTACATCTAACAATTTTATAAGATGTTATGTTTTTTTATCTAAAGCTTTTCATGTGAACGAACATAATTAAATTGAATCGTCTAAAAGTGTTGTTTTTGATGAGTTTCTAATTATTATTTTGTTTACGTTATAGTCCCTCTTTTTTACGAGTTTCGTAAGTATTTGTCTGTGAGGAATTAGGTATTAGTTTTCGCTTGGACATAATAAATAAATTTATATTAAGTAACTTTTACCTAAATACATGAAAGTTGAGAGTTTTAAATCAATCTTATGCTTAGCTTTATTTTGTACTTTTTTATTTTTATTATGATTAATGTTCTGTATACTGATAATAAGCTAAAAAAATACGGTTTTCGTAATAGAATTTTGTCAGTTAAACATTTGATTTCATTTAAAGGTGTCTCAAACTCAGTAAGTGGAAGCGACAAGAACTGGCGAAACCGAAGATCCCAGAAATTAGATAAAATGGAACTTTTGAACTTACAAAGTTCTCTTCAGTCTGAAATTCAAGCCAAACAAACCATCAGTGAGGATTTGAGCAAAACAAGAGCAGAATTATTGGCGGCACAAAAGTAAGTCATCTAAAAATCTTAAGAATTTAAAGTTTATGTGAATGTATATTATATATTGTCTTTTATAGGGAATTGAGAGATTACCGGCAGAGAAATGATGTGCTTGCAATGGAAGTGAAACGGAAAGAAAAACAAATCAAAGACCTCCAAGGACGTTTGGATTCAGGAGAGGGATGTAAGTATACTTTTTGTTTTAGTTACGGTTATTATTGTTTTTGATTAGTGATATTACAACGGGACATTACAAAGACAAGCAATTTTTTATATACAAAACCATTCTCTTAAAAATTAATTTATACAAAGCGTATTATACTTCGTATTAGATTGATCTATAATACAAAGAATGTGGAGATAAACTTTTAATGATCTGCATATTCAATTTTTACTTAATGAGGTCTACGTTATTGTATAAATGAAAAAAGAACGGCTAACAAGTTGCTTTTAAGTTACGTTGGTCAACGGACAGCAGTAATCAGCGACCAAGAACTCAATTCAAAAATATATTGGATAAATTAATTTTTGAGAGGACCGGCTATTGTAAATGAAAAGAAGCATCAAAGTATTAAAAAGCCATTTATCTTTTACTTACTACTGATCTGATTCAGAAACACCTTCTTTCTTACAATTAGTTGAAAAGTGAACTGTGCGGCCTGTAAAAAAATATATCAATAGCGATTCTATTAAGTAGTACGGAAGAATGCCTTTTTGCGTTTCGGTTTGGCTTGCTTCATCATCCTTGCCGGGATGTCTTTATTAATTTTTATATAATAATATTTAGTTCGTCGGTGGCTACGTCAACTGCCGCTGGTCATTGGAATTACCTCTTGCTTCTGGGGATTAATGTTACTTCTAATTAAACTTTATGGCTCGCAAACTACCTTTCTTAATTTGTATTAAG